ATATTTCCATTTCTTATTGTGGCCCAAAACATATTCGGTGAAATAATGGAAATTGGTCTAAATTTTCATGTCATTCTTCGAAAGTTCAGAGATTCAAAACAAAARCTTGAAAATGCTCTACTACGATAAATTGACAGTTCATAATAAACAGTCGTGTGAATAGAATAGCAGACAGGAAAAAAAAAAAGAAAATAGAGAATTGGAACACTACGGGTATACAGAAAGAGTACACTAAGGTGAAATACTGAGCAGACTAGAAGAAACTACTCGAAGAAACTGGAGTGATGTAGAAGATAGTAGTATGTCTTCCCTGACCTCAAGTTGCATCATCGAGCGTTCAACCTTTCTAGGACTTCCTTTCTCTAATTTACTGCGTATGTGTAGAGCTACGGTGTGTACAATCCATGACGTAGGCATTCTAACAACACCCTGTTATGCATAAAAAAAAACATAATATTTTAATATGAACTTATTATACCTTCGAATAAGCCATGCTGATTATATTATTATATGGCTTGTAAATTTCCTGAATTCTGATTGGCTGACGCRCGGTCCGTTCAGAGCCGTATTGGACCGTTGCTATGGTAATCAGTCCAACTTCCATATTTTCCGTAAGTTGGAGCGAGAGAATCAAGACAACTTTGTTTATCAGATTTGAGACTTTCTTTGCAATATAAAAATTCAAACAAAATCCATTTTTTTAATGATCTGAAAGAAGGATGGTCCAATTTCAACTACTCCGCGCTCGCGTTATAGCACTTGACTTTCCCGCTCTTTTCCGAGTTGACCGTACAGAAGCCAAAAAACGATTATATTGGAAGAAAAACTCAATATCAAGTTGTAAAAGTGTTACGGTAAGATTTTTGTACTTCGTGTGTACCGAGCGTCGGGGTGGACTAGCTTCGGTAGTAGCGATTCGAATTGCGTGGATACAGAGCACGGAGTAAATTCTGCTTTAAATCTTGCTTTAATCTTTAACACATCGGCTAGCGCACGGCTAGTTGGTCTCTGATCTAGTTCTATTTATATGACTACAAGCTTCTTTGTTATAGGTAATATTACATAATKAATTGTCAAAACTACAATGCGTAAAGCTCGAAAACCAATCAATTTGATGATAGCAAAAATATCATAAGATGAGGTAACATACGCAGGAGATTATTGGCTTGAACTAGAAAGTCATGTAAAGCGTATACAAATGGTACAAGTAACTTTTCATCACTTTTTGATTCCTGGTCTAACGCTGAGATCAGCGATCCCTACTATCGTGACTAAAATAGTGAATTATAGATTACTTGCAACAGGTATCTTTTAGAAAACACTAACTTAACCTGGTAGGTAAATATCGTGACAGAATGTTTTGTCAATTTCCTAATATTGCCAATTTATA